GGTTTCTCTCTCTCTCTCTCTCTCTCTCTCTCTCTCTCTCTCATCCAATAAAAACAAATCTTCAGTGAGGATTTAAAAAAAAAAAGGTTTGCAACCCCTTATTATTACTTTCAAGTTCTACACATCAGTAACTTGAGCTGTAAACAGAAAAGATCTAATAGTACTGAGTATTTATAATGTACTGGAGTCTATCATCTATAATAATAAAAGCGTAATATGCTAATTAGATCGGATGTCCTTCTGGTCGACCTTCTGGACAAAGCCAGACTTTTTTTTCACTCTAACACACTTTGATTTATAAACAAGATGCATATACTTAAATATCAGATGGGTCTCTATACATACATTCAAGATAAGAATCTATTCTATAATAATAAAAGCATAATATTGTGGCAGACAGAAGGAAGCCTAGGTCCCAGGTGCCAGAGAGAAGCCGGTGCCAGCAGCCAGGGGGAAGGAAGGCCTACTCTTGCACTAATTTCGTGCATCAGGCCTCTAATATACATATATATTAGACACACACACACACACACAATCTCGATCACCTTGCACCCAAATCTTGAGGTGTTGCTTTCACCTCCTTTCCAGAGAGATAAAGCAAATTGTCTGAGGTCCCACCGCTAATAGGTCAAATTTAGGCTCAAACCCAGGGTTTTTTCACTCCAGGGACAAGGATTACACACCCAAGTTAATGAGTTACTAAGGAACCTGGCATCCTGATATCAAACAAGCCTCCTGGATGTTGAGAAGAGAAAACCAGAACCAAACCTGCTCCTACAACAAGTATTTTCTAAGGACCTGCTATGTGCCGTGCATCGTGAGGGGTGAGAGACAGGCATGGTCCCCACCTTCAGAGAGTTTACACTCTAGAAGTGAGTGAAGACACTGAGCCGCTGCAACTCGAAAGAGCTATGGGAGTGGCAGTGATAACAAGCCAGAGGAGAAGGGCCTCTGGCTCCCAAGCAGACTCTCAGGATGATGGAGAGGAGGTGAAAATACATCTTAAAACTGTGTCAATCTAATAAATGTAACATGAGAACTTTGATTGATTTCACAACCATTGACCAACCAAGTGCAAGGCACCAAGCTGGACCTTTCTTTTTATGAGGTCTTCCAATATCTCCAGTTTCATACATACAGGCATCTCCGAGGAGAAAGCTGTGCTTCCATGGAAAGATCACAGGTATTTATTAGAGATCTCACTGATTATTCTAACAGTGGAATGAAGATAAGAGTCTCTTCCATGTGGGGAGCCTGGCTGGATTCGAGGACACAGGGGCGGGTGTTCCAGACCAGATTGCATGCAGGCAATGACCACAGAATCGGGGCATTCAGACCGTGTCTCCCTCCGATGCATCTAACCGTGGAAACTCAATCAGGTCCAGAAATGAATCAATTTCCTTTGCCTGTGTCCTTAAATTTGATGAATAGAGCCTTTGCTTAGAGCTACTGAAGCTGCTATTCATCTCAGTTAGTTGCTAAATAAAACGTTGTTCTTGGATGTAATTCTGGCGAATATGACTTTGGAGATTTTTCATTTAACTATGTAAGTCCAAATTACTCCCCAAGTGATTCTACATTTGAGCTATTTTGTTCCACATGCTCCATATTTTTTTCCATGTTAGAGACTAGGAATCTGGGAAGGCCAGGTTTGCTAATGTTGCCTGTGAAGAGGATAAACCTGAATACAAGTGCAAATTTTTTATGATAAAACAGCTAAATGCATCCTCCTTAAGAATTGCTTTTCTCCTCAATGCAATTTGATAAGCTAGAAATGGTTTTGGACCTTTAACAAAGAAAGAGAAAGTTAAAATATTCAAATAAGCCCGCGGCTCATGAGAGAATCAGTGATTTTGACTTGAAATAGAGGGTTTCGTTGAACCTTCTCCCTAGTTCAGAACCCTGTGGTATTCTGTGGTTAGGAACTTCCCTGGTCATGTAACTAGTAGTGGTAGAAAGTAATTGGACCACGAGTCTTTTTTTTATTCCTTTGAATTTCTAAATAAATTTTTGTTTTTATCTCAGGGAGGCATGCTTACAGTGTAGAAATCAAAAAGTAACAACTAAAAGGCAAACATACCAGTCCCTGCCCCAGCCCTCACTCACCTCTGGTCTCTGTCTTCAGAGGGTACCATTTTGAGCAGTTGCTTCCAGCATTTACACATCTTCATTTCTCTAGATCATAAGTTTTAGTTCACAATTTTTATCATAAAAATTTCAAGCAGCATGTTCATATTATAATTATACACACACCTTTTCTTTAAAAAGTGCTAGGGGGTGGAGGCAGCTAGAGAGAGGTCAATGGGGGCAAAAGGAGACTTATGTAATACTTTAAACAATAAAAAATTAAATTAAAAAAAAGTAAGTTGCAAACATCATGGCATTTCATTCCTAAATGGGCGGGGGTGCGGAGGATGGGCTGAGACCCGCCCCTGTGCCCACCACAGCCTCACGGCCCACAGTTCCTTTCAAGGTGCATGAATTCGTGTACCGGGACCCTAGTACTAAATATAAAATGACTCTGTTTGCTTCCTCTTTTAGACATTATCATGTGACTTTCTGTGCTGTGAGTTGAGGATTTCGTTTTCTTGCCCCTCCATCCATCTGTTTCACATCTCCCATCCTCCCAGTATCATTATAGTACAATTCCAGGTTAAATATATTCAATGTTGTATACTCTTTGTTTTTCCTGAAATTAATAATTGCCTTGGTTTTTCATTTGCTTAGTTTCGTATTAATTCTTCCTACAGCTTCCAAAAACCTTTCATAACATTTCATTCACAGAACAATTTTATCAGATAATCTGTCAACACACACACACACACACACACACACACACACACACACACACACACAGTTTTTTTTAAAGACATCCTCCTTGTGAACTGTTGGCTGTCATCCTTGAACCATGGCTAAGTTTAGATTCCCCGTTTCCTGGGTCTCGTGCTTGGTGTACTCCCTTACTCTGGTGGGACAAAGGCTTTAATAGATTCATGAGGACAAAAAGGCAGCACAGAGGACCACATCTAGCTCGTGGGTCACAGTGCTTCGGTGAAGACTGGTTTCCCTCCTCACCTGGCACACAGCTGTCACCCTGGCATCCTGTTCCCACTTATCCGCGGGCTCCTGCCACCATGCTGCTGAATCCAGCTCTGGGTACTCCATATACTGGGTCTTCCTCTTTCTTGGTTTATTTACTCCCTTGCTTTGGTGGGCACAGTTCCCAGGAGCTCCCTGAGACAGGGGGCACAGAAGGTAAACTTTTCTAGAACTCTCATGTCTGAAAATGTGTGTTCTACACTTGATTGACATTTGTGCTGACAATGTATTTGAGATGGGAGATAACTTTGCTCCATTGTCTTTTAACTCCCAGTGATGCGGTTGAGAAGTCTGAAATAATTCTGATTCCTGATCCTTTGTATGTGATTTGTTTCTCTGTTTTTGAAACTTGTAGAACTTTCCTCCTATTTTGAAATCTTCAGGTGATATATTTTGGTGTGGATCACTTTTGATCCATGAGGCTGGACACCAAGTGGCCCATTCAGTGGAGATTCGTGTTCTTCAGATCTGGAAAACTTTTTCAAAAAAAAAATTGTGATGCTTTGTTCCCTTCCTTTCCCTATGTTCTCTCTTTAAAAAAACAAACAAACAAAAAACTCATTATTAGAACTTCTGTACTAGTTATCTAATTTTGTGATCTTTAATCTCCTAGTTTCCATTTCTTTGTCCTTTTTCTCTATTTTCTGGAAAATTTATTCAACTTTCTTTTTCAGCATTTCTAATTCCAATCCAAATACCATGTCTGCTATTATGCTTTTAATTTTTAAAAAATTGTTTTTATTCCTTTGAAAGTTCTTGGGTTTTAATGCTCTTTGGTTTATTTGGCCTTTTTTGACCAATAGCATTTTCCCCTTAACTGCAGTATCTTCTCTTAATTCTCCTAAGATGTTAATGATCTTTTTGGTGTTTTATTTTGTTTTCTTCTTTGATTTCCCCACATTGCCTTTCCCCCTGTGGGTTCATTTTAGCTTCTGTCTCCAGGGTTAGCAACATCCCTGAGGTAACTACTGGCTGTCTACTGATGGGGAACCAGAAAGCTGATGGGAAGTTTTGAGATGGTTGGTGAGTTTATCCATGTTGAGCTCCACTGTAGAGGGATCTGGCTGGGTTGTTTGCTGCGGAACTTTTGATATCAGTAGCTTTAGGTCTTTCCTCCAGGGCTGGTCAGTTTCCAGCTGGAATACTTTCTCTCTCTCCTGAGCAAAAAGAGGCTGGCTTCCTGTATTCTGAAAGTTAAATAGAAGAAAACCTGAGAGGACTCATCATTCATTGCACTAATATGGGCTTAAGTTTCTTTAAAAAATGAATTTATTGGTGTGACATTGGTTTCAGGCATACAATTCTACATCATTTGTACATTGTATTGTGTGTTTACCACCCCAAGTCAAGTCTCCTTCCATCACCATTTATCTCCCCCTTTACCTTCTCCTACCGCCCCCTACCCCCTCCCCTCTGGCAATCACCACACTGCTGTGCTAATGTGTCTCTTTTATTTCTTTACTTAATCCCTTTACCCTTCTCACCCAGCCCCCAAACTCCTCCCCTCTGACAGCTGTCAGTCTGTTCTCTGTACCCAGGAGTCTGTCTCCACTTTGTTTACTTTGTTCATTAGATTTCACATATTAGTGAAATCATATGGTACTTTTCTTTCTCTCTGATTTATCTCTCTTAGCATAATACTCTCCAAGTCCATCCATGCTGCCACAAAAAGTAAGATTTCCTTCTTTGTTATTTTTCATTGTATTTTTTTTTACAGCCGAGTAATATTCCATAGTGTGACTGTACCACAACTTTTTTATCCACTTATCTATTGGGGGACACTTGGGCTTCCTCCAAATCTTGGCTATTGTAAATAATGCTGCAATGAACATAGGGGTGCACATATTTTTTGAACCCCACCTTTAGCCCTGACTAGGGTCTCCCAGTTTACCTCTGCTGGGAATACCCTCCAGTATCCCCTGGGCTGGGAGGGCAGCAGGTTCCTGGGTGGAGGGGCAGCCAGCTGTGAGGTCTGTCTACTCAACTCCACAACAGCTTTCATTACGCCTCCTCATTTGCTTGTCACCCTAACCTCTGTCAGTTCCAGGGGTCCCTGCTGCTGCCAGTTCATAGCCTTTTGGAACTCAGGGTGTTCTCAGCTTTCCCCTCTCCAGGCTTAGCATGTGGTTTCCCGCACCTGCTAAGACGCCTCCTGGTCACCTGCTTTCCAGTTTACAAGATGTTCATATCTCCTGTTGTACCCACCTCTCGGTGAATTTATCTTTTAAATCTCTTTAGTGTAGTTTTCACAGGTTTTCAGGAGGGAGCAAAATGAGACAAATGCATTCAATCTGTCATATCAAATAAGAAGCTCTATTGTGTTTTTTTCTACTCCATTATAAATATTTGTGCTAATTGTGGGGAGTACGTAGTGAAATATAACTATGATCTACATGAATAAAAGACAAACATGCAAATTGACCGTACCTTCGCTACACCTTAAGCCATGCTCATCAGCCAATCAGAGCGACTATATGCAAATTAACCCAACCAAAATGGCGGCCAGCAGCCATGGAGCTGGAGCAAGCAGGAGGCTTGGTTGCCCCAATGATGGAGGAAGCCAAGCTTCTCGCCTGCCACGGCAGCTCTGAGCTCCACTCAAAGCAACAAAGTTTCAATTATAGAAGGTAAATAAACCCCAGATACCTGCTTTCAGCCAGCCGTGGCCACGGAGCTGGAGCGAGCAGGAGTGGGTTGCCCCTGGTGATGGAG